CGCTCTCACATCGATGTTTCTCTCTCTCCCTCTCCCTTCCACTGTCTCTAAAAAACAATAAAAATCTTTGGGGGAAAGGGGACCTATATTGAATATTGTTTTTCTATGATTCTTTATATCTCAATTCCAGTTTTCTTTTTCTTTACCCTAGAAGAGAAGTAAGAAATGCAATACAGAAAAAAAGAACAAAATGTGGAACACAGGGGGAAAATAAGAGGAATCTGAAGATATTTGCCAATACAGAATAAAAGGATGTCACTAGTAGTCTATATACAAGAAAAAATAACAGCGCCTCTGTGCCTTGGCACCCACAAGAATTAAAGCCAAAAGCAACGACAACAAAAGTCTGCGGAACTACTTTCCATGGGGAAAGACCAGGTAAGAAGAGAAAGTACAGCAAAGAACACAGGATATATGCTGAGCAATATTTCTCAACGTGGACAGCAATGTTGTCATACGTTAGGTACTCGGTGGGAAGCAAATGAAGAAAGCTATGTCCCTTTCCCTGTTTATTCTTTTTCTTGCTTTTACTGGAAAATTAGGCTCTGTCATTTTTTGTTAAATTAACCTATTTCTATCACCCAAGTTTCAGAAGGAAGTATCAAGTGAAAGAAGGCAAGTTTCCATGAAAATCATGTGTCTAACAACTTGACTCATGGTGCATAGCTGTGACCCCCAAACTTATTTCTAATAAAGCAAGTGTTGGCAGAGCTGAGTCCTCAAGGGGGTTAAGTCTGGCTGGTTCCGCCTCAGCTGATAGAGACAGTAAACAGATTGTATGATAGAGGTCAGTAATTTTCAAAAGATACCTAATAACTGAGTCTAGAAAGGGGGGAAAAAAAGAAAAGCAAAAGAAACTCAGCTCTCTCCTCTTGGCAGAAAGCTTTAGCTTTTTACATTTTAAAACTATTTACAATTCATATGGTTTCCAGACCCACTTTCCAGAAGCGAGGGCACAGTTCCCTGCCTGGGTCTCTCAACTCCCCACATGTGATTTCTCAGGCAACCAGCCACATGAGCATTTGATTTGAAAATTAAGCCTTAAATTTAGCAGTGTGAAGGGGGAAAATATGTCTAAACAGAAATGCCTGGTAAGGGGCAAGGTAACCAGATGAGGCAAGCTGGGTTAACAGGATTTGTTAGCCCGGCAATTCAGAAAGTTCGGTTGGAAGCAAATATTTGGTGCAGATGCAAGGAAGCCCACCTCTGCATCTCTGTTCAGGTGTCTAGGGCTGCCCGGGTTTCCGCATGTCTGCTTTCCAACATGCTGCAACCCGGGGGTAGCTGCGAAAAGAACAGTAAGCATTGTTTCAAATACTACCTTTAGCTCTGCTAATTCAGAAATGAAGCCCAGATGGACCTAACCCTCTCCCTTTCTTTAAATGTCAGACACGGTCCTATGCACATTAAGGAGCAGCAATGCCAGGAAGACTCGGAGCACTTGGATTAAAGATGGGTCTGTTATCCAAATACCCCACAGCAAACACCAGTCTCAAGTGGCAATGACAGCAGACAATGTTGTTTGCAGAATATGGCATATGTGAACACTTCCCCTGGCCCCATAATAGTTGTAAGGAGGAAAAAGGGGGAAACTAAGTACATAAAAGATATCTGATCTTGACTTGAAATGATTCATTTAATTCATTTAAATGCATCCCGCTCACCCATCATAGACTTATTAAGCATCATCTGTATGCAGGACACTATTCAGTTAGGTGATGGGAATACAGAGGTTGTTCAGCCTCCTGTAACTCACAGCAGTATAAGGACAGACAAGTAAAGCAATAGACAACCACCCCCTCTGTACATCTACCCTGGCCCCTTCCATGGGTTTTCCCCCCCATGCAACAGGCACAATCTTTTCAAAAGGTAAATTCTTTCATGTATTTCCTCTGTTCTTAAGAACAGGACCCAAATTCTTAACATGGTCTTCAAGGCCCTGCAGGGTCTGGCTGCCTCACGCTCTGAGTGGTCTCCTGACACTTTCTGCTACAATTTCGTTCACCTGGAATACAATATCTTCATTACTGGAAGATCCTGTGGTTCGAGTTACTTTCTTCTTTCCCTAATTCATTCTGTAATTTATTCGCTTATATCCAATTCTCCTCTTCTACTGTCATCTATTATTATTATTGCTATTTTTTTTTTCTTGATTGATATGAGAGAGAGAGGAAGGGAGAGGGAGAGAGAGAGAGAGAAACATTGATGAGAGAGAACATCGATTGGCCGCCTCCTGCACGCCCCTCATTGGGGATTGGGCCCACAACCTGGGCATGTGTCTTGACCGGGAATCAAACTGGCAGCCTCTTGGTGCATGGGTTGATGCTCAACCACTGAACCACACTGGCCAGGCTTATTGCTATTATTTTTATTACCATTGTATCCACCCTAACACTTCTAGCCTCCCATTTTCTGTTCAATCTTTTTATCCTGTAGAGTCTCTGACTTCCCTTCTTAGATGCCTCACCATCACAACAAAGCTAAAGAGGGTCACAGACTCTCAGTATTTAAGGAGTGGGAGGAACCTTGTAATATTTAGCCCAATGATACTCAAATTTCAATGTGCATAAAAATTCCAGTAAGGGCTGATTAAAATAGAATCATAGGCCTTAAACCCAGAGGTTTTGATTCCAGAGGTCTGGGAAAAGCTCAAGAATCTGTGCCCCAGTTGATTTGGACCCAGGCAATCCTCAGACCTCATTTGGAGAAGAACTATATAGTCCAGTGATGTCCATGGTGGCCCCCTGAGGGCTACCACAGAGGATGAGAGGGCAGCCACCAACACATGCTCTGGACCCTCCAACCCACCACCATCACCCAGGCTCATCTTGAGCAGCAACGCTTGCATCTGTTCTATATGTTCAGCTTCCATATAAGATTTCATTTGAAAGGGTTCTGCTGATTGGAAAAAAGAAGAGTTTGAAAATGACTGGTATCCAATCCTCTTGTTTTCTAGCTGGGAAAACGGAGGGTCCATGGTTCTCGGTCATACAGCCAATTAGTGACAGAGTTGGGACCAGACCTCAACCTTTTGACACCAGGCTGTGGGCTTTCCCCAACACCCTCCTGCCTCATGGGTAGAAAGACAATAAATGCATGTTCCAACAGTCCTATATAAGCAGTCTATATATCTAGACGGCAGTCATGGCTGGACCACATTTTATCACAGCACATAGCTGGAGAGATAGGAAAAGATAGGAGGAGAATGAATTCATGCTAGTTCATCAATCTGTATTTTTCATCCAGCATGTCCTTAGCTTCCCTCTGTAATAAACCTAAGAAGAGCTCATCATCCTTTATAGCCTGGATCCTTCTTTAATCTCCTCTGATCTCCCCTTTCTCTCGCCCCATCATTCAATTAGCTCTGCAAGGGCTGATCTTTGCTGGGGGCCAACCCTTCCATGAGTTATCCTAACACAATGATAGCCCTGCTACTGGCCTCCCAACCTGCCTTGGGTCCTCCCACGTGTGTACCCTCACAGCAACTCGGGCTTCCTTTCATCCTGGCACTTACCGCTACAAAATAGTCTGTTCATTTGTCCATCTCTTCCCCTAAACTCCAGGCTCCTTGAGGGAAGGAACATGGGTCTTAATAATCCCTGTATCCCTAGTATCTGGTATAGTGCCTGGTTCAGAGGAGTGTCACATAAATGTGGCTCGGATGACAGATGGATGCATGTTAACATGAATCACTGCCACTACTCTCGATGCCCTTGTAGAACTTTTACTTCTTGTCTCCGAGGAAGTCTCAACATGTGCATTTGACACACAGAGCAAATTAAATGATCCAAATAAAATGCATCTCTTGTTGCCAACATAGCCCCTTCCGTCTCCCTGATGTTCATGTGTTCTCCTCCCTGAAGCCTTCTCTAATCTTAACTCCATCTCTCAGTACTTCACTTTTCCTCTTTGCCCCTCAAGCTCCCTCATACTGGGCTTAACGCAAGACATTAGCCAAATTTAAAATCCAGCAAATACTTTGAATGAATGCTCACTTCTTTTCTAAAGCTTACAGAAAGCCAACTTTATTACACATATAGTCTCCATTTAAAAATGCTATCAACTTTTTTCACATCTTCAAAATTTTGTCTTTCTCCATCATCAGAGTCTGTTTGCTTCCTTCGGCAAATGTTTAGCATCACAAGCCCAGTTACACTGCCCCTTTCTTCCTCATCTCTAGCAACTGGTCCACAGTACCCCTGCCAGAGTTCTCTTTCCTTGTGCTGCTGACAGTATCACTCTTACAGCCCCCGGGTGCTTTGAGTCTTTAGATCTAATTTAGAGATCATTACTCTTAGTTTCTATGCTCTCTGCCCCTCTTTGTTTTTCTTCTTCTATTATTACACATCTAATTCTTGCCAAAAGTCAACAAGCACAGAGAATTTTTTTTCAATTCCTGGCATGGAATAAGGAAATAGATCTTAGTTTCTGAGACTATACTACTCAAGATTAAAGGTGGTTTAATGTTTCCCTAAGTTATGGCTTCAAGGCACCATTCCCAACCAGGTTCCCAAATCCTACTAAGGTCTTCTGCCACCTGGCCTTGCTTTGTCGACAGAGCCTGGATACTGATACAAACTTTCAGAAGCTGCACATTCCTAATGAGATGAGTCATTTTGCTCACTTGCCTTACTCCTGAATAAAAACAGTAAGATGCTGAGAGTACTGTGGCAGTTCTAGGGATAAGCCTGTTATATACGATATATGCACGATTGCATTATATTCGGGGTAGAAATTATGTCTAATTTAACTTTGCATCCCCAACATATAGCCTCCTTCTTGACACATCGTAGACATTTAATAAATGCCTATTCAGTTAAAAAAAAAAAAGAACAAACCGAACCTCTCAATTAAAAATTAAAAACAAGAGAGCATTCATTTCCTGGGTCTGCTATAACAGATTACCATAAACTAGGTGGTTTAAAACAACGGAAGTTTATTCTCTCACAGTTTTACAGGTTAGAAGTCCAAAATCAAGGTATCATCAGGGTGGCACTCACTTTGGGGGCTCTAGGGAAAGATATGTTCCATGCCTCACGTCCAGCCTCGGGTACCTCAGGCATTCCTTGACTTGGGACTGTGTAACTCCAATCTCTGCCTCCATCTTCCCTTTATCTTCTCTGTTGTGTGTCTTCTTGCCTTCTCTTTTCTTATAAAGACATTTGTGGTTGGATTAGTAGGATGACCTCATCTCAAGATTCTTAACTTAATTATATTTGCAAAGACGCTTTTTCAAAGATCACATTCAAGGTCCCGGTGGACATATCTTTGAGGAGGGGGCCACCATTCAAACAATGACTGTAAGATATGGTAAAACCTCAATTATGTTTTTAATGTATGTTGTGTGGAAGACTTGAGAGGATCAAAAAGAGGAGAAAGCAAAGATGGAAGAGGGAAGGAGGCAATAAAATGCCTTCACGAGTTCATTTTATTTTACTCTGAGCTGGGTAGTGAAATCAACAGCAATTCCTGTATTTTCTTTATACTCTTTTAAGTTTTCTTAGTTTTCTACCTACAGCAGAGAGATAATATGCCAATCTAAAATGCATGGAAGAAATTAACTCATTGATGCTATCTCAGGATATTTAAAGCAAAATGTTCCTGTAGTAGAAATGTGTAAGTAGTTAATCAACAATAAGTAGTTAATCAACAAATGCTGTTAAAACATTTGTTTGGTTTGGTATAGACAACATGTGGGCTCTGATTGAAACCATATTTACTCACTATAATATTATAATCTCTTTTAGCTTTCAGATTTTAAGATCTTAAGCAGGTTTTACATTATTAAATTCTAAGGCCTTTGTGGTTTAGGTTTGTGTTTGTTTGTTTTTTTTCAAAAGAAATTCTAAATCTCCTCCCTATGACAACAGAGAAGAGATACATAAATCTATTTTTTTTTTAAAGAAGAGAGAATTGAGTTTTAAATATTACATAGAACGTGGTGTATTTTTAGTGTTCGTTGTCATGCAGGATAAGTGGGTCCTCCTTACAGAAGAATCTTTTATTTTGGTGAGCAGCTGTGATGGGTTTGAGCTCAGAGCCAAGGAAGAACCAAACTACGTTGAGTAATAAGAGGGAGATAAATATGAGGGGCCCCAAATACTGAGAGAAGGAGATTGGCACCCACGACACGGAGCACTGAATGGGGAAGAGATTACACAAAGCCAGCAGCAAACAGAGAACTTTGAGGAAGAAAAATATAAAAATGGGATTTCACATTGTTTGCCATAAAGTATATGAAATTTCTCATTTATAACTGCCACAAAATCTTTATTCAACTCTACCTTGCTCTCTAATGCTTTTATGGGAGGGTGCGCTTTAAGGAGAGAAAAAGGGAGGAGCTAACATCTGGATCATATAAATTTTGAAAAGAAATCAGGAGATGCCACTGAAAAGCCCATGTGTAGAGTTTTGAAAGTTATAATTTCCTGTTACTTCAAGATGTACCTCATTTAGGAAAATAGTCACCATTTAGAAATTTAACACTTTAAAAAATTGTATTTATGCACTATAATAGTTTATTGCAATGGAAAATCATTTCTAAGAACAATGTCACGGCTCACATACAGAAACCAGCCCATTGGCAAATGGACACTTCCATCTGCAAAACTGACATGCAGAAACTGCCCAAGAAATGATCAATCCAAGACTGAAGAAACTGAAATTAATTTATTGAGGGTGAAACTATTTTTGAAACATGTTTTCTGTGAGTTCGTATCATGAGCTAAAAATTAAATTAATTTTTAAACAACTTCCTCTGGGGGAAAAAAAAGCACTGAAACTACTCCCATTAGCTTGCTTTTGAACTCATTGTCATTTAAGCCCATAAGAGTGTGTTTTATGCACATTGTTTAAAAGAAGAAGAATCAAGGTTTTTGCCTCATTTTTCTTTCAAATATGCAGTCTCTTCACATAGACCCTGAATAGCCATCCCCTAGACCGAGCGGTATTATTGTAACACACAGATGATCCGGACTGGCTGGAGATGGGGAGGGGGATTAAGGAAGTTGGAGCTCTGCCTTATGATTGACCACAGAAGCCTCCACTCCGATTGCAAGCCAACAAAGCCCTGATGAAGATAAGGTAAATTGCCCTGGCCGGTTTGGCTCAGCGGTTAGAGCGTCAGCCTGCAGTCCTGAGATACCCGGGTTCGGTTCCCGCTAAGGGCATGTACCTCGGTTGCAGTTTGTCCCCGGCCCTGGTCGGTTGTGCGGGTGGCAGCCACTCGATGTGTCCCTTTCACATCAATGTTTCTCTCTCTCTCTCTGTTCCTCTCTCTCCCTCCCACTCTACCTGAACAAAAAATGGAAAAATGTCCTCGGGTGAGGATAAAAAAAAAAAAAAAAGATAAGGTAAATCAATGCAGGGTTCATCCTTCTCCTACGTGATCAACAGAATCCCAGAACCTTGAGACTTCTCACTGCCCCACTTACAGGAAGCACACAGACACAAGTATGTATCAGCTTCAAAGCCATTCAGTTGAGTGATCTTTGATATTTTTGTTGCAGGTGCCCAAAGAGAAAGAGGAAGAGCATATTTAATAATAATAATCCACTCTTACCCAACACTGACATTTTGGATTAAATCCAGCAGAGGGCAATGCCATACATGAATTTTCCCCTCTCTTGGGTAAGTTTTTTCCAAGAATTCAGCAGCAAATGGTAGAGCTTTTGATTATCTGTCTACATACCTCTAAACCGGCAGAACAAAGAAGATGGAAACGGTTCCATCACAGCTGCCTGAAGGATCTGCTGTTCACACTGCCCAGTCGCTGCCCAAATTTATTCTAGGAGCTCTGCAGACCAGAACTGGTGTATACACTTTACACAGAGTGCTACATAGCTAGTAATTATAATATAAAACTTATATTCAAGTGTTTCAAACTATTGGTGTTTGGGGATTTATGTGTGTCACTAATACCTTTTTTTTTAAAGCAGAACATTTAAGGGTTGGGTTTTTTTTTGTTTTTTGTTTTTCATGATTAAGAAAAAATAAACTTGGACGTCTGGTAGCCACCCATTCAGGAAACCCATGTTTGACGAAACTGAAACCTCCTGGGGATCAGTCAATATGCCCAACCCGGTTTGCTTACACTTAAGCCCCAGGTCCTCTAAGAAAGGTTGTTTTCAGTGGACTGGGTAATAATGCTTCAAGTTCTAATTTCTTCATACAGAAAATAATGAGTACAATGTAAATAATGGGTACAAGATGAGTTGTATAAATATGTCGCAAAAACCCAGTCTTATGAAAAAAGGGTAATTCTGTCAATCAGACCAATCGAGAAACTACATTTTAAATTAAAAGCAGATGAAATATCAAACAATAAGAGAGTACTTATTTGAATTGAGACATGCACTTAAAGGAATGTTACCCAACCCTTAAAAATTGTGAGTATGAGACATTGGAAAATGGTAAATATGATGTGAAGTGAACAACAAAAGAATAAAAATATCACAATTATAAGAAATCTTGGCATAGAAAAAAAGACAGGAAATACAAGAAAATAGTAACACTTTTGGATATTGAAAGTAGGAATGTTATTTTCTTCCTTCTACTTTTTCTTATTTTCCAACTTCTCTTAATGGACATATGTTACTTTTTATAATGAAAAATAAAAGCTACATACTAAAGAAAAAATAAAACAAAATTTTCTATCCTAACAATTAGGAGTTACCATTCAAACTGGAAAAGTTGATTAAACAAAGAGAAACTTTATTTCTAGCAAAATAGTATTTGTTTACATAATTATGTAGCATCTAGGAATATCAAGCATGAATAGTGCAGACAATATTTTGCAGCAGTAAAAGAAAGCCCTTGTCTCTCCCTACAAATACATAGTTTCCAAATGAAAAATGATTGAATAAGATTGATGTGAACAGTTCTGTGAAGGAGCTTGGGAGATTTAAGCCAAATTGACCAGTGCTCAGGAAGGTGTGACATGGAATGCGTTGCACGGAAAGCGATGGTCAAGAGCAATTTGAAATCTCGAGGTGTCCAGGAAATATCCTGACCACAGAGGGATAACTGCAGTGACGCATCTGAGCTCAGATCGTTCTAATGCAGAAGTATGAGTTCAGAAAACACTCAGGATGTAAAAATAGTAAGAAAAAATGATGCTGACTCTATTTGTCAATAGTTATACAAACCGTAATGCTGGCAGCCGGCAAGATTTGAACAGAGAATCCAGGGCTGAGAAGCAGAGGTCAAGCTCATGGCAGAGTTCACTTTCTTCTCTGCTTGCTTCCCACGCCTGTAACTTGTTGCATAAAGCAGCGCCATCCAACAGAAACAGAATGCCAGCCGCAATGTGAGCCACACCAGCAATTTTTAATTTTCTCATAGCCACACTCAAAATGAGTTTTTTAAAAAGGTAAATTTAATTTTAATAATATATTTTCTGTAATCCAGTATATACAAAATCTTACGATTGCAATGGAATATTTGCAATGGAATCAATATACAACAAATTATTAATGACATACCTTACATTCTGCTTTTGGTACTAAGTCATCAAAATCTGGTAGATATATCTTATATTTATCACACATTTTCCTTTGGACCAGCCTCATTTCAAGTGCTCGGTAGTTACATGCAGCTAGTGGCTACCGAACTGGGTAGCCAAAGATCCCCACATACCTTTCCTTATCTAAAACTCATAGGACTAGAAATATTCCAACAAATATTGGAAGGGGCATAAATACATCAGATCAGCAAATGATTCAGCACTGAGAACAATACATGTAATTGGGAAAGAAAAGACAAACATGGAAAAAAATAAAATTTGAGTTTCAGAAGGAAAGAAACTTAATTATTTTAATTTTAATTAATTTTGGCAAAGTAAGTGTTGATTGGCCAAGTGTTTGACTAAAAATGTGAGCCTTACCACTAAAATAAATGTAAATAAGCATTATAGAATTATTCCTTTGCAAGGATAGTTATAATATGGAAAACTATGCTTACCATTTTAAAAACTAATGGAATATTTTGTCTTGGATATCTTTGACTATTACAGTGATATAGGCATAGAAATGTAGATATGGGTAAAGAGATGGCTGTCATTAGAGATTCTTAACGCTGCATGTTAGGGTCATCTTGGAAACTTAAAAAAAAAACACCAGAGCTTCACCTTCAAGACCCTATTTAACTGCTCTGGGTGTGGCTGGGGCCCTGATATGATGAGAAGCACCAGATAGATGACCTCTGCAGCAACAGTCAGACTCCCTCTCATAGCCCCTCAGCGGCCCAGCTGCTCCCACCGTGGCCAAGGATGCTACCATGCCTTGCAGAAACCTCCTCCTAGGAAACACTGAGCTATCGATTGGTATTCACAGGTTCAGTCAGCAGATACATGTCATCTTGCCTGGGGCAAGAGCATGTACTTTCTATTCAGCAATCACATTATTATTTTTTTTTTTTTTTATTTTTTTGTACATGCCCCTAGCGGGAACCGAACCCGAGACTCTCTCTGGTCCACAGGCCAACGCTCTGACCGTTAAGCCTAACCAGCCAGGACCAATCACATTAATTTTTACTGTGTGGAATCATGTCACGCCTACATAGGTTTTGTTTCTTTTTAATCTTCACCCAAGGATGTTTTTACTTATTTGAGAGAGAGAGAGAAACATCAATGTGAGAAAACCATCAATCTCCCATATGTGCCCCAACCATGGATCAAAGCAGCAAACTCTTGGTATACAGAATGATGCTCCCACCAACTGAGCCACCTGCCAGAGCACTCCTACTTCGTTTTAAAACTAAAGTCACCAAAATATTTCATCCAACTCTCATACAACACCTATTTTTTAAGCATTTTCACATATTATAACACATTGCAGATGCAGAGAATTGGTCCTGGTTTAAAAGGAATATGAGTCACAAACCAAAAAAGTGAAATTGAAAAAAGTTATAAAGGAAGGATTGTATTTCTCTAATTATTTTGTGGCTCGAGTTTATAATGTCCAACATCACGACTTGCACAGTGCTAAGAACGTAGCTGAGCAATGCTCCAGGCACTGAAAGGATAGATGTATATGTTTATTTATGGATATATTACATATAAGCTACATATACAGTATTTAATTATGTTTATACTTCTATAATCATGCACAAAGTCCTTCGAATGTAAAATAAATAGTGAAGATCTATCAGACCACAAAGTTCAGATTTACACATCACTTTATGAGTGGGTAGAAGGCTAATTTAGACTCTTACTTGCCGTGGAACCCTTGATAAGTCACTCCCTTTCTAGGTCTTAATCTCTTTATTTCTGAAATTAGTCACTATTACCCACACCTTGAGATTTTATGCGAGTTACATGTGGAAGCACTAGAGTCTATGCATGGTTGTTGCTCAATAAATATGTATTGAATATGAACATAGCTCCCACCTTCCTCACTGCTAAGCACAGAATGAATGAAACCTGATGCCCAGAAGGAAAATTAATTGCCAAAGTAACATAGTGACCACGTACATAGACCTAGGTTTCCTGAATAGTGTTTTCATTGTACCCCCTTCCCCTCAGGAGTCTCCTCCTATGACTCTTCTTCCTCCAGGAGAAGCCAATGATGGCTCCTGCCCTAGTATGAACCCCAAGTCCAAGACCTTCTGCCAGGAGCACACAGGGAAGCCACAAGTTCCTGGTGGTGCCCACCCCAGTGGGACACCCACCTTCAGCAATACCTGGACTCCCCTGATCCCCTCCAGCTTTTTATGTTATCCCTGGATTATGACCCACAGGTACCAAGGGTAGACCCAAAGCACTTTCCTGATATTTTCCATTAATATTGCCATGGGGACAAGTATGTATTAACTACTGTCTAAGTCAAGTTCATGAGAAGTAGAACCTGAGATGAGGATTGACATGCAAGCAGTTCATAAAACAGTACTTGGGGGAGAAACCATAAGGGAAGTGAGAAGCAACATGAGGAAGGGGAAGAAACCATGCAAGGGTATGACTACAAGCAAAGCCTCATCCTCAGTCTGGTCTCCACAGGACCTCAGGGATGCAAATTATACCTCAGAGCTTGTTCAGTTTGAGTCAGGAGTGCTGCTTTTCCATACTTCTGCACCCATCGATCATTGGCTCCAATAGCCCAAGGAGCAGTGCTTTGAAGAAAGTGGTAGGTGCAAGCCCTTAGAAGTAATGTACACAGGAGCTGGGAGTGAGCACAGGAAGACAGTGATGGTCTGGTCAGACAGCACCTTCGACCACCACCAGCTCCAAGGAGGACTCAAAGCTCCCTGGGTTATCTCAATCTGAGTCCATCTGATGTCTCCAACTTCTCAAAACCAAAAAGTAAAAAGCCATTCTCCAGAGCCTGGGTACATTCTGCAAAGACCTCCAATTCCAGCCAAAGGAATTGGCCAGTGATGAGACCTAGCAAAGTTTGACAGATCAAACTCCTCTGGTAAATTCCCTCTCAGTAAGGACACTTGTTACTGCTCAGTTTGAAAATTTAACAGGCACTATGCTAGACTCAAGGGACACAAATGTGATCCAGAGAGATGCCCTCAAGGAGCTCACAGTAGTAGGTAATCTTACAAATGGAAAATCTTGCCTGATTTTAACTGAATCCTAAAGAATACTCCTTTCTCAATGACATGTGCTTCTGCCTTCAAATTGACAACATCAGCAACAATACTTTTTAAAACATCACACCATATTGAATTACAAAGAGATGCTACCTCATAAGGACTCAACAAAAAGCTAAATGAAACCACAAGAAAATAATACTATTGCTATTTCTAATAATAACAACAATGTTAGTTAGCATGTGGGAAACTTTGGGTAATCAAATTCCTGAATATCCAAACTACTGGATTACTCTTATGGCCTCTAGGTAGAGGCCTCAATGACTATCACTGCCCAGATAGTGTCACAACTTTTAACTGGTAATCTGAGGGACATTAAAAAGATATGCTCAAGCCATTAAGTTCAAATTCATTATGTAACTGTATATATTTTTAACACACTTTATACGAGATGATACTTTAAGGCAATGAGACTGATTATTAAATGCTCCTAGGGAATTCATCAAATCATGTTAATGTCAGTCTAATAGCAAGTCAAAACTGCAAGACATGAGAAAGTCAGGATATGCAACAGCACAGCTCAAAGCCACACACTAGCTTACAAAAGTCATCACCTCTTAAGAACTTGCTTAGGACCAAAGAATCATTCAGGGTCAGGACTAGACTCATACTTAAAGTCTAAGTATAAAGCCCCTGCTTTTCAACAGCATACTACAGAGGCAACATTTGAAAACGTGCTAACATTGGAAATGAACCACATGGTTCCAGGCATCTTTATGGCTTATCCATGTCACCCCAGAGTCACACTTTCAGAGTCTCTGCCTCCATAACTATGGCTTTAGATAAAGACCATTTTTATTCACCATGCATTTAATACCATTTTCTAAAACAATCCAATATAGAAAAATTGTATGTATTCATCACATTATTAGTGATCAATCAACATTTAGGAATGAAAAGAGATTAATTACTTTAATTCTACCAGTTATTGTCTAGGCTCTCTCACTAGCTTTAATTTCTTGAAATTTTTCATTTCATGTGATCAATTTGTTTTATGATATTTCCTTCAAAAACTATTCTCTTCACAGTATCCAAATGATTCAAAATCATGGAAAGATGATGTTGACTGCCAGACTAAAGTACTTGTCACAAATTTACTTTTCCATCTGTTATACTTAGCCCAAAAATAAGGAAGAGAAAGAGAATGAGAAACAACGAAGTGAAGATTTTAAATTTATGTTTTGCTAAGTTTTCTGGAGGTATTTTTGATGTTGTTGTTGTTTGCAAATACATATTTTAAAGCATTTCAGATTCAAGAACCATTCCTATAAATATTTCTTTATTGGTGGATGAATTTTAAATCAATGAAAAATTTGTATTATGGTGAATAATTTATTCTAAAATCAGTTACTGAGTGAATACAAAATTCTTATCACTATCACTTGATACACTAATGTTTCAAGGTCTATCAATATTCCTCAGAAATTACCAAGTTAAATAATTCAAGTACTTATGAAATATGCACTATATACACAACGTCACATGTGTTCCAGTTCTAAGTAGTATTAGATCTAGAAATGAAAAGTGATGATGATATGTCTGTGTTCCACAAAAGAAACTCCAAAGGGACCTGAAGTAGAAGCTGAGTGACTACACAGCGGTTCTCAACCTGTGGGTCGCAACCCCTTTGGGGGTCGAATGACCCTTTCCCAGGGGTCACCTAAGACATAACAGTAGCAAAATTACAGTTATGAAGTAGCAACGAAAATAATTTTATGGTTGAGGGTCACCACAACATGAGGAACTGTATTAAAGGGTCACGGCATTAGGAAGGTTGAGAACCACTGGACTCTAGCACAAGCATTTGCTGAGCATAAAAATGAACCATGAACACAAAATGGACTTATACTGCAATTTTTAATAAAGGGGAACAGAAATATATATTTAATTAAAAGAGAAAACCACCCATTGTCAAGACCTGTTTTGTGGTCCAAGAAATCTTAAAGAAAAAACAAAGAATGTACGTCTTACTTGCTGTTGATGAGCACTTCAGATTGCCGATTATTCACTTGATTATCACTCTTGTGGCGAAACTGAAAATCAGAGTGTTTGTGGAAAAAAAAAAAAACATTCAGTCATACTTTCTCAGCACAAATAGGGACACTGAAAGTACTTTGAGTCCATCTGTTCAAACAATGTCACCATTGGTCCAAAATGAGCACAGCTAATGGGGACCCAGCACCACATGTCCTAAATCTGAATCAAGACCCTTCTCACTAAATGTCACTCTGGGTGTCACCAGCGGAACAAGTTTAGCCACATGCTTTTCCAATTTCCACACATTTTAGTGTCTTCTAAGAAGACAATATGCCTTTACTCTGCTGCATAGCTCCAGAGAAAACCATACATTAATTTTGATGTCTTCAACAGGGACTGGGGACTTCCATTTCTCTTACATATGCGCGCAATACTTTATTGAAACATCATTCATTCTGTTTTATGGGTTTCTTTGAAGCCAAGAAATTACTTGTAACAAGATGCATTTTTATTCTCTAGAAATTATCATTGTTAATACTGATCTTATTAAATACTGAGTATTTTCCAAATATCAAAATAAAATACTAGACCACATTTGTTATGAATTTGTGTTTTTATGCCCAAGTGACCCTATTTATTGTTGTATATTCCAGTAATATAAATATCTTTTATTGCTTAGAAGAATCCAAATATTATGAGCCCTCTACTAAACTCATAAATTAGCAGCCATTCAAATAAGACTTTCGACATGAACTGTCAAGATCAGATAGCAGTAGGTTGAACTGTAAGGTATTATTTCAACCATAAATGCACAGATGAACAAGGAAGGGATAGTATCATGAAACTGATTTCATAGATCATAATCATCAGGATTAGTGCTTTTTCCTTTTAAAAATTTTCAAAATATTACATCACTATCACAATATACAAAATGCTTCAACCGCCCTGGCCAGTTTGGCTCAGTGGTTAGAGCGTCGGCCTGCGGTCCGGAGAGACCCGGGTTCGGTTCCCGCTAAGGGCACGTACTTCGGTTGCAGTTTGTCTCCGGCCCTGGTTGGTCGTGCGGGTGGCAGCCACTCGATGTGTCCCTTCACGTCGATGTTTCTCTCTCTCTCTCCTTCCTCTCTCTCCCTCCCACTCTATCTATACAAAAAATGGAAAAATATCCTCGGGTGAGGATAAAAAAAAAAAAAAAAAAAAATGCTTCAACCAGCCCTTCCCTTTTTCAACATCCTTCCCAGACCCATTCCAATCTTCCTTTTATTTTGTGCCTGTGCCCAGTGCATACAATTATACCAATTGCCAGATATAAGTTAGTGGGCATTACCAGGAAAAAGAAAATATTTGCCATTGGTTAACAGGGGAAGAGTTGATAATATTGGTAGAAGAAAAAATTAAGTCAATCTTCTCCCCACCAACAGAACAATAGAAATGAAAATAATGATTCTGTCTAAATACATAAATTGTCATGGGTGCTGGAAATTTCTGTTTGCTCTTCAATATCTATACCCATCCTCTCCACTCTGCCCTGTGCCAGAGGAAGCTGACCTGCATGGTCCTTGCCCTCTGGCTCTGGCTGGGTTTGACCAATAGGTGGCACTGGCAGAGATCGAGTACCAGAGGAAAGTGAAAGTCCCTGGCTTCTCAGGCTAGGTTAACAGTGGCTGCTTCCTCTCTTGGTAGCCCCACCTACTGCAAGCAGCCCCCAACTACAACTTCAGGTCTGGTAATTGCTTCCTTCCTCTGCCCCTTCAGGCCAAGAGGTAGTTTGGCCACCCATGTTGCTATCCCGTGTGTTTTTCCTCACCCACGCCCTTTGAAAATGGCCTCCTCATTATTAACCTTAGTCCAATTTTCCCCCATTTTAGAGTGACATCTGTTTTCTGCCAAGACCCTGACTCATAAAGATATCCGGTTGTTGAACCAGCACATAGTATCACAAAAGCATTTTCAAGTATTAACTGCAATAGAGACAAAGGACACTTGGCATTTAGTCACATCTGTATCTAACCTAAAAATAGTCCCTTAAATTGACTAGCTGGACATCACAGAAAAATACCAATCGGTTCACCCCCTGAACTCTGAGCAGCCCACTCTCTGGGCCTTAAGATGGGGCCACTTTCGTTTCTGCTCAGGTTTTGCCAAGGGGGTCTTGGTACCAGAACAGATAGAGTATGGAAGGACTAGAAATGGTCATCTCAGGCTGGCTCTTCTTGACAATTTCTACGTGAGAAATAGATATGAAGGCTCAGAGGAGAACTGGCCAGGGCAGGAAGGGAACAGAGGACAAGTATTAATTGTGTACACCCTGTGAAGCAGGCTCTGTGCCAAGTGTTTTATACACAGTATTGCATTTTGTCCCCCAACAGTGCTGCTGATGTCATTGGCCACATTATTCAGTCAAGGAAAGGTTCAGAGAAATGGTTTGCCTCATGTTACTGTTAGAACTTGGTAGGGTAAGGGAAGATTCTCCAAAACTTCTTTCTTTCTTTCTACTCTTCCATTTTACTCTTCTATGATGTCTGGGTAAATAAGACCTTTAAAGCCAATTTGTGGGAACGCATGCACCTAAATGAGTACTATTCCTGAAAGGTCAGATAATGTGGGAAAGTCAGACATTTACTCCAAAGATGTCATTATTCAAATCATTGCTGATTTTATGACTTGTATTAATCATCAATTAGCAAAAGAGTTTTCTATCATATTGACCAAAACAGCTTCATTCAAAAATTTCAAATGGATCTCTATTTTCTACTTCTGAGAGGTCACAGTTGAAACCGAGATCTCAGGAATGCTCAAAAGCAAATACTCACATAGTCATCTGTGGCATCTTTGACAGCTGTCATAGTTATCACCAGGACCAAAGGCACAATGGTGGTAAACCAGCTCAAGGAGGAAATTTCTGGAATCAGCTAAAACAAACATTTCAAAGAGTTTAAGACTTTTAAATTTAGTAAATATATCTTCCAAATGTTGTCACGTAATTTTCTAAGACTTGCCAGAAATTAATGGGATTATATTGTTATCTGTACGCATGTAGAACGACTTTTAATAATTTAAGTGTTTGCATTCAATTATAAGACACGTTAGAATAGATGTATCACTGAACCACTTTTCAGACTGCCTGACAAAAAATACAATTTTTATAGCAAGTTAAGAAGTAAGCATCTTGAAATATTTCACAGATGATGATCTTTCCTCAAGAAATAAGCATCACCTGTCTTTTCTCAGTTTCTCATCTCAACTTTTAACAATTTTACCAACTCCTCACCAATTCCCCCACACCAAAAAAAAATTATTTAAGCCTCTACTTTGAGCCAGACGCTATACAAACTACTTTCCATATATTATGTCATTTGATCTTGAGAGAAGCCCATTGTGTTAGACTTTGTACCCGAGTTGTTTTATACAAAGCCTATGGGTTTGTATTCCATGTAAATACCACCCCAGTGCAAAACACAGGACACACTGTGAATGGTGCCCCAGAGCTGGGAAAAGCTGAAGCCTTGGGTATTATTTTTCCATTGTATAAACAACTCTCTGAGAGGTCAAGCAACTGGGCCAAGAACATACACTGCAAACATTTGAACCTCGGTCTATTTGACTCCAAAGCCTGTGCCTGTGCCTCCACCTGAGAGAGACGTCATAACAGCTGACATGCTCTCTTAGACAGGTGGTTTTCAAGTGGGGTTCCATTTGGAGTTGCTTCAGGGCCCTCAGGCAGAGAAGGGTTGGGTGGAGATGGTCAATGTATGGAGATCAGGCCCCATTAAAACAGCTTAAACTTATCATTTGTATATAATATCTTCCATATAAGACTTAAAAAACAAACAAACCTCAAAAGACTCTAAGGAAAACACTGGACTAGGTGGCAGAAAAGCTAGATTCTAGTCCTAGTTCTATCATTAATTTGTGCTAAAAGCTTTATACACCATCTAATATGTCTCTAGGTCTAATTTCTTCATCAATAAAAGAAAGGAGGTTGGACTAACCCCTTCCAAAGGTCCCTTCTGGATATAAAATTTTGTGAACAAAAGTCTGACCATAAATAAGAAAGCCATTAGAGAAATGAGCTCAAATTTTTGGAATGGCATAAAGGATTATATGAAGAAACCAAAAGCAACTTCACAGAGGGGGAAAGAAAGAAAACAATCTAGGCTTCCAAAGTCTCTTCAATAAATTGTAAGATGTACACTCATCACTTTTTTTTTTCTGTTTAGCATCTAGTTCTTCTCCATTGACCCTTATTTTCTACTTTCAGTTTGCGTGATTTTGGTGCACTGATTCCATGCTAGCTCCAGGTACCAGCACACGATGGAGGTCAAGACAATCACTGCACCAAATGCTTGAGCCACAGTGATTGACTTAGAAATAGATGTGTAACAGCATGGTCCAATCAGAGCAAATGTCCCTCCTTCTCCTTTTTGCTCTCTTTCATATTGGAGTTGAAGCTGGAAGGATAAAATTTTAAAGCTTTCAGGGTCCACCAGGTACGTACAGAGGGCCTGCCAGAGAATGAGGCCAACATGAAGGAAAACAAAGAAAAGTGATGTCAAATCCTGCTTAAACAGTTTGTCCATAAATCTAGTCATACATGAAATGATATATACTCATAAATATATTCTCTTTTTGCTTAAAAGAATTTAGGTTTTTCTACCACTTACAGTCAAAAGATTCTTATACAGCCCTGGCCAGTTTGGCTCAGACATTAGAGAGTCAGCCAGCAGACTGAAGGTCACGAGTTTGATTCCCAGTCAAGGGCACATACCTGGGTTGCAGGTTTGATCCCCAGCCCCAGTTGGGGTCATGTGGGAAGCAACCAATCGATGTGTCTCTCTCACACCATGTTTCTCTCCCCCCACCCACCCCCTTCCACTCTATCTAAAAATCAATGGGAAAATATCCTTGGGTGAGGATTAACCATTAAAAAAAAAAAAAAAAAAGATTCTTAATACAAATGTTTATTCAATTAAAGAAAAAATAGTACTCAAGCTATTAACCTAGACTACACACATCTAATCTATCTTTTTACCTCCTATAATTAACACAGATTCCA